TTGAAATAAAATAAAAGTTTCCTCTACAATGTAGAAGATGCTCTTTTGAGGATCTGGACCTCAAATTTTTCTTTGACATTAGATGAGATACTGAGATGAAGGGAAGACGTGAGTCCAGGATTTCAATAAAACAAGTATCCTGCGGGTCTGGTGAGAACCAGGTCATCTACCCAGAAATTCTGTTGCTGATTTTATTCTGAGTTTAATCCCATCACTAGTTTCACTTCCTAACCTATAAATCTGGTTTCAAAAGAGTCTTAACTCTTCCTAAGCAGGGCTTAAGTGTGTGTTTAAGTTGAAGTTAAGCCACTGTCAGTATCTTTGTCTGCTCTTTCCTGAGGTAATGTATGGGTGCCTAAAAACAAAATATCAAACTGCTCTTTTGAATGTAAATGAAATTATAAAACTGAAGCATAACTTTCTCTCTCTATGAAAATTTAAACCTCCTTCTTAGTTATTTCTGAGCAAAATGTATTGTTTGCATCCATTGTTATTCCCATTGAAATAAGTTATAGACACGTCTTTGGAAACAAAACAGACATCTGTTAACTCACAGATGCCTTTGCTAATTTTTTTTTCCAGCCTCATCTCTTTCATAAAAAAAAAAAAAAATCAGTAAAGATGAGAATATTATTTGGATTAATTTGTTTTCTTTTGCCTTTCTTTTTTTGTTTCATCCAGAAAGTGCTCTGTCAGGATACCTTTTACATTTTCAAAAAGAATCTACAGCCTGTGAGATACTGAGTCTGTGAAAATAACACAAAATTAAATCCAGAATATGAAAATCAGCCTGCTAGTTTTGTAACTTCGGTGGCCTTATGGTTTGTTTAATGCACTAAAAGTCAAGTGTCCAGGTTTCTTCTAAGAGCTACTGAGTGAGAGTGAGATTTTAGTAAAACTCTAAAGAAAGGCCCTCTCCTATTGTATATTCTCAATCATAATGTTAGTTTTTATTGTGTCTTTGTGGAATCTAAATATATTTTAATCATGTTAATATGCAACTATAACTTAATAAGAGAAGATTGACATTTGCCTAAAAAAGTGATTTTTTCAAGGACTCGATTGGTCTTAAAAAGTTTAGTAGCATAAGAATTAGGTCACGGTGTGAGGGGGTTTCTTTTTTAAAATATATAATTTAGAAACAGTGCATTCTCAGGTTACATATGGAAGCCTGAATAATTCTCTTGCTGAAACTGAGAAATCTAATTCTCTATTGCTTAATTTCTGTGGTTTTATAATTTATTTTTAGGTACCAAAGGAAGAAATAAAGGAGAATTTACAAATCTTCAAGGGGTAGCTGCATCTACGAGTGGAAAGATATTAATTGCAGACAGTAACAACCAATGTGTGCAGGTATGGCCCCTAATTGTATACCTTTAACCACTAATGTTGATAAAATAGGTAAGAGTTGTATATTTTCCTACTTAAGACTTGAGGTACATGGGACAAAGGAAAAAGGGAAGCTTATAATGTATGTGTACACTTTTCTTCAAATAGAATTTACAAGTTCTGACCTGTAGTACATATGACAAAGGCACTGGCCTGTTTCTTCCTCACTAATTTCTGTGCGAGTTCTCATTCCAATGAATGTAATTTGTTTTACAGATATTTTCCAACGATGGCCAGTTCAAGAGTCGTTTTGGCATACGGGGACGCTCGCCCGGGCAGCTGCAGCGGCCCACAGGGGTAGCTGTGCATCCCAGTGGGGACATAATTATTGCAGATTATGATAATAAATGGGTTAGCATTTTCTCTTCAGATGGGAAGTTTAAGGTAAGATTAACTACCAACTGGCCACTAAACAGTAGAGAGAAGGAACAGGAAATACAAAATAAAATGGCTTTTTTTTTTTTTTTGCGATCCAATAGAATATCCAACAGTTCTTCAGACACAAAGTCATCTTTACTCTGTTATATCTAAGTTTTATGAAGCGAAAGTAACAATGATATTGTCATAAATCTACTCATATGTATCTTAAATGTGGCTTCATTTTACAAAGAATTAGGTTACTCAGGTTTTTTTATATCATTAGATTTTAATTCAATTCAGTGAAAAACTAACAACCTTTAGAAAAGGGTTGTTAAGAGGCAATTTATATTTCCCAAAATAACCAATAGGTTATTTTTTTTATTTGTCAGTTATGAAGTGCCTTCTACTTTCTCAGACCTGTGACAGATGCTATGGGAGAATCAGAATTCTAAGATATGGTCCTTACCTTTTAAAAATATACAAGTCCTTTGAGGATTAAAGACTAATATACAAGACATGACAGAAAACAATTCATGTCAGCCTTTAATCAGGCATAAATTGTTTGGTACAATCTAAAAGCATAGCGTTGAAGTACGTATCATAGGAATTGGAAGGAAAAGAAAATGAGGCCTGGCTTCATGGAGAAAATGTGAGTTGAGCTACAATTCGAGGGATCCCATCATTTGACACATTTGCAATCACTCCCAGCATCATCTATTTTTCAGCAAGTCACTGAAGAGTAGAGAGCTCTCTGGTCATAACAGAAATCTCTCTTCTAAGGTGTCATCAAAGAATGTTATCATCCAGCCCATTTTCTACACTTGCTCACAAGAAGATTGTGAGACACTTTGTCAAAGGTGTTTTTGAAGGCCGTATGCACTATGCCTTCTGTATTCCCCTCTCTGGCCTGTTGGAGGCTTCTTTTTCAGTTGACACCATGAACTTTAACTCAGACAGATCAACCCATGGGAATCCCAGTTCTGCGGTTCTTTAATTATTTGGCCTTTGGAAAATGATATGACTCCCTTGAGCCTTAATAGCCTTGTATTTCAAATTTGGATTTAAGAAAAGCTATCTCATAGGATTTGGGTAAGGAGTAAATGAAATTTTATTTCTGGATTTTCTATGTGCCTCATATGAAATAGGCATCTAAGAAATGTTCTTTTCCGATGCCTCTAGTAACCCTGTCCAGAAACCAAAGTCGGTTTGACCAGCTATGATTTGAGCTTTCAGACCTCATGACAGCTCCTGGTGGTCATCTCTTCCTTGTGTAAATGTTCGGAGGTGATGCCATTCATAACCCATTCTGGAGTCCTGAAGATCGCGCAAAGTTCACACATTAGTCTCTCATTGGAGGAATTTACATTTTCCTCTAAAGTTGTTCTCTACGGTCACATAATTTTTATTAAACAAGTTACAGAATTATTAATCCTCAGATTAGAGCGTCTGTTTTGTGTGGGGCAGTTTTTTTTCTAGCTAGGGAAATAAAAAGCTATTATTTTTAATTCCACCATGTTACGCACAATTCTTCAATTACCCTTGTTTTTTTTGTCCCACTCATAATGTGCTGACTCTATTAGATGACGATGTAAACAGAAAGGTCTCTTGCCTGTCTATATTTCTAACTTTCTCCTGTTCTTTTGTGTTTTCATAATTGTATTTATAGTAAGCCAAACCCAAATACGACAACATTAATATCAATAGAATGAGAACAACTCAGAGACCTTTTGAAAATACCCATCTAGTTTGGAGACAACTCATTGTTCTTGTGTCATACTCTAGCAAAACCTTGACCTGTCTTTTTAAATTCAGAAACAAATACTAAAACAGGATTTAAAACAGGAGTTTTATATCTATTATGTTTAATATACCTAATATATTAAAACATATTGAAACAGAAGTTTTTTATCTAAGAGGGAAGGCCTTCTTGAATTAAGCTTTTTTCTTTCAGTGGTTCAATATTCTATATGTAGTAGACACTCTTCCTGGAAGAATTGGATTCTCATGGTTGAAATGCTATTGGTAATAATTGGAATAAACACTAAAGAAAACTCATGCCTTCTAGAGTACTGGGGGAATGGACATGTATAGTTTCAACATACCCACCAACACCCCCCTTTTTATTTATGATAGATGGCAATCGAAACCCAAAGGGTAGAAGGATAGCAAGTGAAAATACTTTAGTACGATAATGAGAGTTCATCCAGGTTTGATGTACATGACTATACACTGACAGATACTTTCTTCTTTGAAATACCTTCGAGAAGGTATTTTCTTCTTTGATGGGATTCAGTCAAATTAAGCAGGTACTCAGAAAGACAAACCTTTAACATAAAGGTGGGTTCTTTGTATTTATTTCTAATAGTTCCAAGGAAAGAACATCTTATGTCCTTTTCTTTCTTTTACTAATTTCTCTAATATTCATGCCTCTAATTTTTTCCTTTTCATCTTCCCTTCATCTTCCCTTATATCTTTCAGTTCATCTAGGAACCTTTTGTGACTCTAGCACAGATACAGAGCCCCCTGGTCACCACATTCTAACATATCTCATCTCTTCTGTCTTTAATTTAAGGACCTATTTTTCAAGCTAAATACTTTCATTTGACAGTTCCAGAGCCAGGGTCTAAAATTTCCTTGCTTACTATTCTGTTTAAGATGGGAACACACTGGCAGGCCCAATGCCATAATTCTTATTTTACTTGGTAGAATCTAATACCACTAAACTAGAAGTAATGAAGGGAAGTGGAAGGAAAAGAGGTTTGGGGTCAACATTTAAGTTTTTTCTTTTAGAACTGTGCTAGTTCTCACTACATGACAGAATGGCAGTCATCTTTTATTTTCTGTGTTTACGCTACTTAATTACCATCTACTTGGTATTATATGACTGAGTCATTCTAATAACAACTAGCGTTCATAATGTTAGGTAGCATAATATCTTATTTTAATAATCAGACTCTTCTCTCTTTTTAATCCCTACTGACATATCTTTCATTCAGACATGAAAGAAAGTACACAATTTTTTTTTGCAAGCTATTATGTTATAGTCTCTTTGAGCTTTGGGCCAGATTGAAGAATCAGAATCAAATTTGCACAACAAATTCCCTTGCCAGAATGCCACTGCTTCTATCCTAAGTAAATCTCTTTGTTCTAAAGCGATCAACTCTGAATTTGTCATTTATAAACTTCTAAGAATAAAAGATCATACAAAAGCTGAACCTCCCCTGTGTGAACCTCCCCACCCCACTCTCCATATTTTTTCTTGCACATATCTTCATGTCTCCGTTGGGAAAGGGGACAGTCTCCCTACTCCTAGTCCAGTGATCTTTTGCTGTGCCACACTGCTTCTTTAGAAGGGAACCGTGATCCTAGTTAAGGGGATTAGAGAACATTTCTGGTGGTGATCCCTTTAAAAAGTAAAGATTTCATATAAGTATCAGTAGCAGATAATGGATGTGACAGAGGTAGTTTTCTAAGATGGTTGATCATCGTGACATATGAGTCTGTGCTCCCCTGTTGGCACATTCAAGTAAATGTTTCCTAAAATAAATGTCCGTCTTCGAGTTCTACAGTGTTTTAAACTTCACTTCTGTACTTGTTTCTAACAGACAAAAATTGGATCAGGAAAGTTGATGGGGCCCAAAGGAGTTTCTGTGGACCGCAACGGGCACATCATCGTGGTGGATAACAAGGCGTGCTGTGTGTTTATCTTCCAGCCAAACGGGAAAATAGTCACCAGGTTTGGTAGCCGTGGAAACGGGGACAGGCAGTTTGCAGGTACACTGGATGGTAATATGTAAACCCCCTTTTTTATGGCTCTTCTGCTCGCATTTGCATGATGTTGGAGCTTGTTGAAGATTCCTCACCCCCAATGTGTTTGCTGGCTTTTGAAAAGATACGAGGGATGAAATCTAAGCAGAAGCATGGTTATTAGATGCTTCTCAATTACCCACCGCAGTAAGTTGAACTGCAGTCCGTGTGTGGTTTTTATTGGTGGCACTTCACAACTCAGAAGTCTAATCTTCTAATGTTAATAGGAAATAAAATATAAATTTTAAAATAAAATATTTTAAAAATAAGAATGTTTGAGGAACAATGGAATAACTCCTGTTTCCCCCTAGCTGTAGCTTTATTTAAAGAAATCTCTAAATGAGAATTTTTTCACCTTTCTAGGTGATTAGACGAGAGTAAGGGTTCAGAGTATTTGCTAAGTATGGGAAGAGCAGTCTCTTTTATTTCTCTCTTTGGTGTACTACTTTGTAGTCATAAGCTTACTTAGTTTTTCACATCTGAGAGAGGAGGCAGAAAACAATTTATTAAATTTCCTTTTTGAAAGGATGCTTTTGGCATTTAATCTTAATTTGCATAATCTTTCTTTGTGCTTTGTCTCCAGTTCTGCCAGGTTCTGAATGTCCAAAATTATAAAGTGAGAGTTTTCTGCTCTACTTTTTTAAAAAAATGTTATACATTGGAGTCTTTTATTCCCTCAATGCTAAGGGTTACCATGTCTTTCCTCAGTGGGAACTGAGGATCCTAAAGTGACTAATATATACTCAGAGAAGCTGGCAGATTTAACGTTCAGACGGTGATGTGGAGAATGAATTCTGATGCTCGTCCCACTTCATTAGGGCTGATGCAACGCCAGGCATAAGCTGGAGGAAGTCAGAGTAGCCAGTCCCAAGTGCTGAATGACAGAGGACCCCTGTTACCTGAAGCCAGAGATCTGGCTCAAGAACTGAGGCCCAGCTTCTTTGTCCTTTCTTAAATAACTAAGTACTATATTAAATTTTGTAATTCCTAAGTTGTTGTAACCATTTTCGTTGTTATGGTCATCACATATTTTTTTCCAATCTTTATTGCAGGTCCCCATTTTGCAGCTGTGAATAGCAATAATGAGATTATTGTTACAGATTTCCATAATCATTCTGTCAAGGTACAATAAACACACCAATTATTGTTAACTTTTAACTGCTTTTATTGAGAAATCGGTCTGGGAAAAAATAATGGAGAGCTCACATAAACACACAGGATCTAAAGGAGGTGGCTTAAAAGAGCAGATTTTGCTTCTCCTTAAAGATGCAGGTTTTATTTTGGACATACATACTTTGGAGAGTCAGAAAATTGAACGAAATATGGTGGCTATAGGTTTCTTAATTTGAAACTGGTATAAATGGAGATGACTTGAAAATTAAATTTGGAAAAGCAATTGTTTCAACTTGGAGAGGCAGAACTTTCTGAAACATCATACATTGTGGCTATTCAATAATGAAAACGATCACTTTTCCAATTTTCTTCATCATAAGGCCTTTCAAACAAAATGAGATATTAGAACTTCGGTACAACAATGGATTTTAAGAGGAAAATAGCCCTACCATCTATTCCTATACTGTATTTCATACTTCTTAGAATGCTTTCACGCACTTGGGGTTCCCTAGAAAACAATGCCCACTGCCACCCCCAAGTAGTATAGTACTTCTTTCTTAACTAGGTTTGAGGGAGAAGAAAGATTCGACCTTTATTATGAGCAAATCAGGAAATAATAAAGTGGTTCAAAACAAATGTCTCATTTACCGGGATGAGACATGTTTCTCAAGGTGTGATGCATGTTCCATTGAAGGTATGCCAGGTGGTCATGGGCAGTGCACTGGCAGACGTTTTTATTTTAAGAGTGATATATTTATTTTTAGGGTTACTATCAAGTGATGGTTTTGGACTTAAAGAAGTAATATAAACTTTTCCTTGAAGTAAATTCATTAAGAAGTTTTTAAAGTGAGGCATTTTAAAGGAGGGATAATAAGGAAGCGGTGTAGGTGACATATGCCAATGGCTGAAGTTTGTACTTAGAGACAACATCGGATTTTTCAGTGTTGATAACTGGAATCGCTAGATAAGGATAGGATTTTAACACCCAAAGGTGCTCTCTCTTCTGTGTCCTTCACTATGTCATTTCCCAAGCTCATCCAGGGAGATCTCTTTAACCTGAGTAAATGGAAAAGCTTGAGATTTTTTGATAGGAGTCAAGTCCCTGTGCGAAGAATAGAGCATGTGGGCTGTGGCGATGGGGCAGGAGCGGGGAAAGGATGCCCACCGTCGCTTACTTCCACAGCTGCTTTCTGCCATGTTGTCTTTCCAGAGTTTTTACCACAGTGGTAGGGCTCCAGCCCTGCTCCCCCACCTCCCTCAGTGCCAGTAAGCTGCATATTCTCACCTCTATGGGAGTGTCTTGATAAAGGGAAGAAGGCAGTGGGAAAAGTCATTGGTAGAGGAGGAGGGAAACTGAGAGCAAAGAGGCAGCAGGGACTGGGCTTGTGACCCTCCTCGCAGAGGGCTATACCAGTCTTGCGTAATGAGCATAACTATAAAAAGCTGACCCAGGCTGTCATCATACCTCCTAGGTTTCACTCACTTTATATAGGAATCATTCATTTAACCATAGGGCATTCAACCAGAAGATTACCCATATAGATTCTAACAGTGCAAAGGCCAGCAAATGCCTGCCGTAGATGCTCTCCCTGCCTACCAGAAGATAGTAACGTTAATCAAGTTGCTCTTTTCTACTAAACTCAACTGTGACCCCAGAGCCTTTTCGTCCTAGTGGCCCAAGCAGGCTCTCTGAATCAACTGCCATTGCTATGTGGGATGACTCCTATTTACCAGCCCTGGCTGTCACTGTAGAAGGAAATAAGCCATATGTAAGTAACCAAAATGCAAGGCAGATAGCAATAAGTGATTTCTTATAAGTAGGTACATGTAAAGTTCTGTGAGTGTCCAGAAGAAAAGAGACTTTTAAGATTATCAGAGAAGACTTCCAAGTGGAAGTGGTATTTGAGGTGAGCGGAATTTTGAAATCAGAAAAGGATTATCATCAAAGTTATAAAATCTTATTGTAAAAACTTGTTATAAAAAGCAAGCTATAAAAACAATTTCAGCTTATTCTTCTGTCTCTTAATATGTTTTCATCCGGATAATTTATAAACAAGTGACATTTTAGATGGAGAAAATAGAAAATAAGAAAACTTTATAATTATTCTGAAAACACTTCAGGTTTTCAATACAGTAGAGGTAGATTTTTTTAGTTATTTAAAATCAGTTTTTCTTTTAACAAAACCAGTCTTTTTTCTCTTTGTTAACTGTCATATATCTTTTATGGAATAGTTGGGTTTGTTTCCCATGTAACACAAGGCAGTTAGCAATAGTTCTGGATTCAAGTCATTTCTCTGTTGGTAAATGTAAAAACTACCTATAGTTTGGGACTAACAAGTGGTCTAGTTAATTCTTTAGCTACCTTCAGTATATATTTTCTTTCTGTGGCAGTAGGTAATTAATTCAAGAAGTGGTTATGACTCCTTTTTCTTTGTCTCAACATAAGTTAAGCCTTTAGAGATGGAAGTGTCTCATTTTCCCAATGTACGTGACTAAAAGAAAGAGTCATTTTAATCTTTCATGAAAACAGAATGGCAATAGGAGAATTTCAAAAAGATCCTGAGATCATCCTCAAATTAGATCTGCACTCAGTTATAATGAACTGCCTCAGTTTCACATTTTACAAATCCTTACTCTCAGGGTCCCTTGCACGTAATACTTTTGAATTTCTTAATCAGTATTTTCACACATGTAGGAGGCAAAAAAAAAATGGAAGCTTAAAATAATATCCTGGAGCTATTTCAAAAGCATTAAGTATCATCTGAATCATCGAGATAAAATTATGCTCACTATAGTCTTTTAATTAAGCACATAGAAATTATCTCAAAATCAATAATCTATTTGATATTTATAGAGTAACACTCTATTAGTGAAAATATTTAACTACATACAATCCATCGCTTGTCCATATCAGATTAGAGAATTTACTTAATAGAATTCATTCCCTTCTCTCAGTAGCCTCCATTCAATAAAGCCTTAGGGTCATATAAATTCTCTGTTTTAACTAAATATGTTCGGAAAAAAAATAAATAAAAGCCCTTTTTTTATCCCTTGCTCACTGTCATTTCACACACACACATACTTTTAAGTGTGAAGTCTGGATTACTCTTTCTCATTGGGTTAGTAAAATGGTAATAAATTCTGAGCATCTGGACTAACAGAAAGCTTCTATTTTCTCATCCAACTTTGAATCATCATCCATCTTGTTAGAAATACAATTCCTGTTCTTGAAATTTAGCTATTTTTTTAAAGGCAGAAAGAATAACGTTGAAAATTATAGTTCTATTTTCTCATATCTTATATTTATATATATTTTATAATTTATAATGGAAGTATTT